TTCTAAGTTGATTGGTGTCTGTGACACCACTGAGGCAGGAAAGCCGAGGTTGGTGCTGGCTGGTGCTCCCAGGAGGGCAGGGCAGTGAGTGGGTAAGAGAACATGCCCCCGCCCCCAGCCGGCCCAGCCCACGGGCCCGCGGTGGCCATCATCGCCGCCACCTCCCACAGCAGGAGACTTGCAGCGCTTGTTGGGGGGCAGCTGTGCCTTTTGCTCCCTTGGCTTCACCCAGGCGGGCTATTTTCTGATAGAGCCGGAGCAGGGGTCGCTGACCCACGCGCCACACCCTCCACGTGAACATCGGCATCTCCGGCCATGGCAGAGTGAGCGCGCGTCCGTCCCCATGGCTCTCCCACTTCCTGCTTCTTCATCGTCTGCCCAGCAGGGACTCAGGCCATGTGTGACGTAATTCAAATAAAAGTCTTCCCTTTGCAGTGGGGGCTGGGCCTTGAGTTGATTTGAAGGGCCTGAGTGCATCCATGTGTTTATGGCGCAAATACTGAGGAGCCGCTCAAACCCACCATTGCACACGCGGCTCCGAGCCTGCAGCGGGCACAGAAGCCACAGGCCTGGGAGAGAGCAGGTCGGGGAAGCACAGCCAGACCCCACGGGCCTGGGCACGCTGGGCAGACACACGCAGAAAACAGTGCTGCAAAGAGGCCGGAAACCTGGAGGGTTGAAACCCGTAAACGCTGGCTCCCCTGGCCTGACCCACCGCCATATTCTCTGTAAGGTCGAGGACCTGGCCCCAAGCAGTTGCCCGGCCTGCCCTCCACCGACCAGTTTCCCATGGGCTCCTGGCTAAGGTGAAGTCCTAAAACCCTGACAACAAACGGGGAGATTGAGGTTGGCACAGCAATGAATCTCCTGGTGAGTGGAGCTTAAGGCAAGCCCCGGGCTACACCAGCCTTTCCGTGGACATGGTTACAAAGTACACTGAGGCGTCTTTCCAGCTGGGAGCTATCGAGCGATGTCCTGCAATCTCTAGTGGCAAAGGGTCAATAGGACCACAGAGGCCGTCCTGAGCGGCTGCCCTCACTAGGGGTGGATGGGACAAGCAATGGGAGGAGTGTTCGCTGGCCTCCAGAACGTTCTTCGAATTCACCTGCGAATATTCTCCTGTGCATTTATTTTCTTCTTCCTCTTAAATGTACTTTTCCCCCTAAAACAAAATCCCAGTGTTGGAGGGCCCTGAGCCACGGGATTAATCACCAGCAGCCACAGTCCCTCCTGCCC